AGCTGGCTCTTCCTGCCATGAAGTATCCATGAAGACAGCACACAAGAATGAGATTCAGGGGCCAAGCCAACAAGCCAAAAGACACTCTAGTTATCTGCCTACTAAAGCATAAGAAGTATGTTAATTGATGTCTAGGGACAAATTTATTCAAACCCTGCCTCCCTTACTCAGTATATGAGTCATGGTAAACTACCCTACTTAATCTCTTGTGCCTTGGATTCACTGCCTCTAAAATGGGGATAACAGTAACTATCTCACTGACTTAATCTGAGGATTAAATAAATGTAATAAATATAAAATGCTGGAAACAGTGTTTTGCACTTAGATTGCTAGCCACTATTATTAGTATTTAGAGCCAGGAATGTCACGTGTGTTCTTAAAATCAATAACAGGATGGATGGATACAAAGTGACCACAAAGTGTGGCTTTCAGTAAAACTCAACTAATGTTTTAAAGACTCCAAGATCAAGAACAGAGTAGAATATAATTCTTTTCACACTGTGTGTGGTCATGTGAATACTGTCAGCTGGAGGGAGGAGGGTTACAGATCCACAAATCTTAGTTAGAACTGGTTCAAACCACCAGCATTCCCCTAACTCCACAGTTTATGGGAGTTCAAGCGCCCTCTGACCCCAACAACACTTCTTGCAACTTTATGTGACCACTTCAGGCTCTAACTTCTTGCTTTTGAAATACATCTTATTTACCAAGTCATGTTGACCTAGGCAAAAATGTAACCCCTTCCTAATTTACACTTACCCCTACAGAACATTCCTGAAATTAGTGGTCTTTGCTGGTAATTTGGGGAAAGATGAAAGAGAGCATTTACCTTACATCAGCGTTTTCACCACCTCCATCCTGAACTATTCTTTGACTCAGTCCTGACCCATAGAACTTTCTATGGTAATGGAGATGTTCTACTTCGGCACTGTCTAATGCAGTCATTACTAGCCACAGGTGGCTTTTGAGCACTTGAAATGTGGCCAGTATGACTGAGAAACTGAATTTTTCATTTGTTGAACTGTAATGTATTTAAATTTAAACAGCCATATGTGGTTATTGGCTGCCATGTTTATAGTACTGCTCTAGTCCGTTCCCTGGAGCACCATGGGCATTTTACCCTAGAGTTCCAGACTCTCTCTACCTTTCCCACTCTTCTTACATCTTTTCAGATCTTTCTTTAATTTACACCCAGCAGTTTGTCCTTCTACCACGATGCCTTAGCACCTACCAACAGCCATGTCTTTGGATTTCTACTTACTATGTGACTCTTGACAAATTCCTTACCCTCTTTGTACCTCAGACTTGTTGTCTCCTACAATAGAGTTAATAATAATAGCTATCTCACTGAGTTAAACAGGGAATTAAATATGTTAATACATATAAAGTGGAAAACATATTCCACATGAGCTTACCATAGGTCATCCTGAAGACATTTTCATACCTAAAAGGAATTTTGATGATAAGTGTTAGGAAATAAAACTTTCACTTGATGCATAATTGTAGGCTACACAGTCCAGGGCAGTAGCCACTGGCTCTGTGAAGGTCTTTAAATTTAATTTAAATTAATTAAAATTAATATTCAGTTCCTCGGTTGCAGGAGTCACATTTCAAGTGCTCAACAGCCACATGTGGCTAGTGACCATGACATTGGATGTGGCAGATGTAGGAAAGTTCTATTGGACAGCAGTGGAACTTGATTATCTCCTTATATATAAACTCAAGAGAGAAGAATTGCCACAGTAGGTCAGAAAATCAATCAAATTGGGGAAAATCAATCAACAGCAGGTCTGTTCCCTTTATCAATCTCACTGTCTCATTCTTGCCCCCTAAACTGTATTCCGACATTTCATTTTTTCCCCTTCTATGACTTCCTCTCCCATCCCGACAGTCCTAATGAAATGCATTTAATAAATATCTATAAAATACTGTAGACATAATTTTCGATGTTATCAAGCACACTTTTTCAGAATTTATTTTCTTCTAGGGCTTCACAGCAGAGGAGATTATGGCTTTCTTTTTATTAATACTATGTCATATCTGGCAAAACACCAGGCATAATCCTATTCATTTTCTGCAGCCATAGCACAGCTAGTCACAATAGATAACTTAATGAAAATTTTTCATTCAGTCCTATTTGCTCATAAGTTGACAGAGCCCGACATGAGTTGGTGAAGGGAGGAGAGGATCCATTGTGTGTATGAGTGTGAGCGTGAGTGTGTGTGTGTGTGCGTGCACAGTGTTCAGCTCCATGGGTCTCTTCTGTCATTAACTGTAGGTGACAGAAACTTGTCTGGAGAGCTCATGAATGTTCTCCCACGAAGCTGCTGTTTGTTCTCTTGGGCATCGGCTCCAAAGGGAAGTGTTATCATTTGTACATGATGGAGACTTTCTTCCAATTTACAGGAGCTTATCCTAAGAGCACACAGTATTGCTTTGACTGTTGTTCTGAGTCTGGACTGCCAGATTACTCCTGTTTTAATCTTGGTGAGAGCACAAATAAAAAGAAGTTGTATTTAGTAAAGAAAAGGTGAA